TTAGATCTAACAATTGCTACACACAATGTTAGAGGTTTCAACAACATTACCAAATGAGAAGCATGGCAAAATTATTGCCTGCATTACTGAAACAAAAATTGCCAACAGTACTAATTTTCATTTCTGTAATAACAACTTATATACTTACTTCTAGGCTAACTCAGATAGCTCAGCGGAAGGTGCTGCTATCATGATACACAACTATCTCAAACCTCACATCCACAATTGTCAAACACATTCTGGTGGAGCAATTGCTCTTGATCTTTTTTTCAAAAGTGATATCAAGCTCCGTATTATATGTACTTACCTCTCATCTACAGATATGCAAAACACAATATAACACAAAACACAGTTATCACATGGATTCAACAAGCTCATCAACTTAACCTTTATCCAAAATAATGGGTGACTTCAATACACATAATAATATTCTTAGTACATCATCCAAATACGACTTATTAACTATCTACATTACGCTAATATATATGACCTTGGTGCACACACTAATAATACAGACTACACATGGTCAAATAACACTAGCCAAAGCCGTATCTATTATAAATGGACTGACTTATTTAGTATTCAGTTTTTTCTTTCATATCATCTAGATAACAGTCATACCTCCACATTAAGTGATCACTCTATTCTCCTCTCTTCTTGGACTTTTACTAATGCCTATAGCAAGCCCCCATGCTATCATACCGGTGTCACAGGTTAATCTGTGACTTTCGCCACAAAATAACCTAGACCAAACGGTAGGCACTTAGTCGCTTTGCTATGACCGATTTTCAGTTTGTATTGAGGCAAGTACTTTTATTTATTACTCAAAATGCAATTTATTAATTAAGAGCGAAACTAAATACTAAGTCGTACTTTTTCTACTATTACATTCACTTTGCTTCTATATACATACTTCGTGTCACATTACTTACATCATAATTCGTTCATAAATGATCATACGATCATTTGACTTTCATATTTCCAATAAATTACCTCATATTTCATGCATACTGATCACCCTATTTCGATTGCATAATTGATCGTTACTCGATCCCTTATTACCCGATCGATTACTTACTCATCACGTGCATCACGTGCACAAGATAACGATCGTTCGTTCATTTTACCTTCATTCCCATACAAGTTCATCGCATACTGTAAATCACCATGACACAAGCTAGAGCCCCAGGAACTTCGTCCCCGAAGTTTCCAGCATAAACAGGACCTACTTTCCAACAATATCTGCAGAACTAATCCCCAAATTCGCATAATTTTCCACAAGTTTTCCAGCAAGACTCTTCCACGATCGAATATTCTTCTAATTCGGATTTCGGGTAAGTGTTCATCTTTCCTTCGCTCTTTCTTTTTCTTTGAGCCTTTCACATTATTCTTAATCGTCTTACTAATCCTTGTTTTTTCCTTACCATCCACATAATCATTCTTCACTCGATTCATTACCACTTCCTCATCATTTTTCATCTTTACCCCTTTTCCTTTTACTTTGTTATCTCCTAACTCATCCACTCTGTTCCTTACGTCTAACCTGCCCCTCTCATTCCTTTCGATCTCTATCACCGATTCACACTCACAAGCAAGGTATTCATCACGGCAAGACTTTTCATGGAATTCAAATTCGTGGCGGTATTTAGTTTTTATGTTTTCATCACGTGTTCCTTTGACATTTCCCATTTCACTTCTAACGATTTCAGCTCTACCGTCTGCAGCTTTATCCCCGTTATCATCATTTTCGACTCCAACTTCATTACGATGTACGTCAGATGCAGCATTCCTATCAATTATCTTTCCCTTATCGAATACTAATCCATGATCATCCTCCAATTTAGGTTCTCCTCCTTCATCCTGCTTCGAGTCTTCCTCAAGTATTTCTTTTTCATCGCTATCGGCAGTTTGGTGACAGATAAGTGCTTTGTTTTCGTCCTTTTCATTTTTATTTTCTGTGTTGTCAAGATATTCGCCACTACATGATTCATTAACGCTTTCTTTATCAACAGAGTCATCCTGACTCATGTTTTCCCAGAACCATTCGAATAAACTTTTCTCACAACTTGGCGCTTCAGGCTTCCGATCTTTGTTGGATACCTTATTTTCATCCCTACCACCGTCGTCTTCTTTCTCTGCACTATCATCTGCATACCACCATCCTAGGTCCATTCTGTAGGCCGTTAATACAGTTAGTTGGCAAGATTAATGGTAATCTGCCCAGGTTCTCGTGTCACGGGTTAATCTGTGACTTTCGCCACAAAATAACCTAGACCAAACGGTAGGCACTTAGTCGCTTTGCTATGACCGATTTT